ACATATGAGTGAAATCACATGGTATTTGTCTTTCTCTGACTGACTTATTTCTCTTTCTTTTTTAATCTGTGTATCTTTTATTTCTTTCTCTTATTTTACTGCACTAAGACCACCAGTTCAATACTGAAGAGAAGTATTGAACAAGATGTTTGTCTTGTTCCCCACCTTTGGGGGAACAGGTTCAATATTTCACCATTATGATGCTAGCTATATGTGTTTCATAGATGCCTATTATTTGATTGAGAGAGTTCCCTCTCATTCCTATTTTACCAAGAATGTATACAAACATCAGTGGATGTTGAATTTTGTCAAATGAGTTAACAAAATTTCTGCATCTATTGAAATAATCATAAACTTCTTATCATATGTTTGGCTAATATGATAAATTACATTGAAATATAAATTTTTTGTAGATTAAACCAACCTTGTATTCCTGGGATAAATCAAACATGGACAGGATATTTATTCTTCCCACACATTGCTATATTTGGCCTGCTAATAGTTAATGATTTCTGGGTCATGAGGAAAATTGGTCTGTAACTTCTTTTTCTTACTTTTTTTTTTTCAGATTTTGTTAAGGTAATTCTAACTAAATATGTTTTCCTATAGTGTCTTCATTTTCATCCATCTCAAAGTATTTCCTAATTTTTCTTATGATTTCATCTTTGAATCACTGATTATTTAGGAGTAATTTAACTTACACATATTTATGAATTTCCCTGATTTTTTTTTCTATTCTAATTTAAATACACTTTCGTTGAACATATTATTGTAATTCTCTTGTGCTTACTGAAACATTCTTTAGGGCCTTCTATAATTCTCTGTCCTAGAGAATGTTCCATGGGCACTTGAGAAAAATGCATTTTCTTCTATTGCTGCATGGAGTATTCTATATATTTCTTAGGGCTAACTGATAGTGTTGTTCAAGTCTTTCCTTTGTTTATATTCTGTTTTACTATTCTACTACTATTGAGAGTAGGGACTTGAAGTCTGTAACTACTATTGTTTAATTTTCTATTTTCCCCTTCAATCTGTTTTGATTGTGTATTTGGGGCTCTGTTGTTAGGTGTATATATGGTTCTAATTGTTATATTTTCTTGATGAATCACCCTTCTTATCATTATAAAGTGTCCTCCTTGATCTCTAGTAACAATTTATGTCTTAAAGTCTATTTCCTTTAATATCGATATAGCCCCTCCATTGTCTCTTGGTTACTGTTCGCATGGTATATCTTTTTATATCCTTTTATTTTCATCCTGTTTGGGGCCTTTGAATCTGAAGTGTATCTTTTTAGGTAGCACAAAGTTGGATTATATTTTTTTATCCATTCTTTCAATCTCTGCATTTTAATTACTATGTTTTATCCATTTATATTTAATGTAATTACTGATAACATTTATAACTGCTCTTTTACTCTTTGCTTTCTACATATCTTATGTATTTTTGTTTCTCTATTTCTCCATAAAGTTATTTTATGTTAAATAGATATTTTCTAGTGTACCATTTTAGTTCCTTTGTCACTTCATTTAAAATTTATTTTCTTAGTGGTTGCCATAAGTGTTCCCATCTTCACTAACCTGGTTTGGATTAATACTAACTTAATTGTAAGAGTATAAAAAAAAATTGTGCTTCTATAGCTCTATCTCCTCCCTCTCCCTGCTTGCTATCATTGTCATGCAAATTGCATCTTTATATACTATGTTTATCAACACATACTGCTAATTGCTTTATGTACTTGTCTTTTAAATTACATAGAAGACGAAAAGATTTACAAGTAAAAATTATTTTTATATTGTCTTTTATATTATACATAGTAGTTATCTTTACCAGTGTTTTTTATTTCTTCATTTGGATTGGAGTTACTCTCTAGTATTATTTCACCTGAAGTTCTCCCTGTAGTATCTCTTTCAGGGAATGTGTGTTAGTGACAAATTCTCTCAGTTTTTGTTAATTTCTCTTTTACTTTTGAAGGATAGTTTTTCTGACTATGTAATTCTTGTTGCCAACCTTCCACTTTCAGCAGTTTGAGTATATCATCCCACTGCCTTCTGGCATCCATGGTTCCTGATGAACAATCAGACACTAATCTTACTCAGGATCTCTTTATATATAATGAATCTGCTTTCAAGATTCTCTCTTATTCTTTGGCTTTTGACAGTTGGATTATGATGTACTTGGGTATAGGTATCTTTGAGTTTATTATACTTGGAAGTCATTAAACTTCCTGGATGTGTAAATTAATGTGATTTTCCACTGAATCTGGAAAGTTTTCAGCCATTACTTTTCAATTATTCTTTGCCTCCTTCTGTGGCTCTCATTATGCCTACGTTATACACGTGGTAGTGTTCTATAGGTCTCTTTTCTGTATCCTTTTTCTGCTCACTTTTCTGTATCCTTTTTTCTTTATGTTCCTTCTACTAGTTAATCTCAATTGATCTACCTTTAAATTTGCTGATTCTTCTGTTTGCTCAAATCCACTGTTGAGCCCCTCATTTTTCATGTGAAACATAAGCTTTAGATAGGCAGCGTCCTTATTTCTCTTGTTCACTGCTGTATCTCCAGAAATTATCATTGTGATCGGTACATAATAGACATTCAAAAAATACTTTTAGTATGGTAAGTGACCCACAATTACCACCAAACATTCATTTCAATTCCATATTCTGTTGAGGAAATGAAAGCTAGGCTACTTTTTTCCATGCCACTAAGTGAAAGACCCTTCGATTGTCATAAGAGAAGGGCAAGGCGAAAGCTAAGTCCTACAGTGAGATACAAAAGGGACAACAGTCCTTAAGTAAGATACTGATTCTTATTCAAGGTTAAGTTTAGTCTGCATTGATCATAGTAAGTCATATTTAAGTGAAATTATATATATCTTTTAAACTTGATAATATAGAAAACATTCTTTTTCAATCAAGTCTAGTTAAATCTTCCCTTTGCCCAAACTGTTCAAGCCATGGAAACCTCTCTGGTATCTCTGGTCTATATTTTTACTTAAAATAAAAAACAAAAACCTGGACTATATTCAATTCCATTCAATACAAGCAGACAATTTTAAGTACAGTATAAAATTTGTAGACAACAAATAGCATAGATTTTCAATCTTAAGCTCAGCAAACAATCCAGGTTCTTTCACTTTATCCCATTTAATGTTAACCCTCCTTTGATGTAAGACTATTCCAACTTAATAAATGAGGAAAGTGAAGTTCAGAGAGGTTAAGCAACTTGACCAAAGTCATACAACTAATAAATGGCAGGGCTGGAGCAGGTTTTCTGACTAAGACTAGTGATCTTTCCATTATACTACAGCCCTTGTAGAGTATTTGAAAGTGTTCTCCAAACAATAACAGGCCATGCTATAAAAAAAAAAGAGAGAGAGAAAAAAAACTTAACAATTTAATCTAGATGTAATATAAATATAAATATATGCCACTTTGGTCCTTTCTCCAAAATATGAAGCCAAATAGACATACTTTCATTTGAGAATGACTGATTTGACCAAATCAGACTAAACTTAATCTTGTATGATAGTCAATGTATTTTGAAGTGTTTCAGAAACTTTTAAGATACAAAGGGAATATCTATCCATTTAAAGACACTAGGGTCAAATTTTTAAACACTTAGTTTCTTTACAAAGAGGTATTACTACATTATCTTCCTCTTCCTCTCTTGCACCCTTCTTCAACAGATGCCCATTACTATGACCCGCCTCCATTGTGCATATAAGTGAGCTATGCAAAAATTACACCCTTTCACATCTGAAGTAAAGAAGCATGTGAGATGGACAGGAAAACATCCAACCCCCCTTTTTCATGCAGAACACACAGGCCTAATGTAGCTTGCACATTCTATCTTGTTATTTGATCACTAACTTGACCAAAGAGGAAGTCCAAAGAGGGAGTTGTAACTGCTAATGGTAAAGGCAGTGCTTTACAAGAAAAAGGAAAGAAAAGGAAACTTCCTTTTTGTATGCAGCAATTTTTAACAGTGGAAGAAAAGTTTGAAGGCGTGTTGAATCTAGAAGCACTTGAGTGGTGACGACTCAGGGTTGAAACACCTTAAGCTGAGCCACATTATCTCTTTTCTTAGATTCTGATTTCCTACCCTTGCTGCCCCTGTTCAGCTAGATCATCCCTGCCTTTCTTCTTTACTTGTTCTAACTCCGGACCTGGGTTCTCTGCCTTCTCCCTCACTCTTCACACCCCAGACTGCCTCCTCTCCTCCCCTAAGGCAAGAGAAAAACAACAACAAAAAAGACTTTTCAAAGCCCACTTTCCTATAGATTGCCCCCCCCCCCAACAAACTCAAGTTCAAGTTCTTGTCAGTTTCCTCTCCCTTCTCATCATGGAATGTTTCCTCTGTGGCGGGCCTGCTCAGTCTTCTCCTGTTTAGGATCTGCCTCTCAGACCCACATGTTCTTTGCGTTTTCTCTTCTCACACACCTTCACACCATCCCCCACTTGTCCTCAGTTCTCACACCACACCGCAGCCCTGTCCAGCCTCATGGTCCATTCAAAAGCCCTCACTTCTAGACCTCACATCTCTTTCTTTCCCAGAGCCTTTGCCTCTCAGACTCGCACCCCCTTCCATACCACCCCTGTCACACCCACACTCCCCTGGGACAACCGCCCCTGTCATGTCAAGGGCCCTCCCCTGGACCTGCCTCCTCTCTCAGACCCACATCCCTCCCCTGGACCTGCCTCCTCTCTCAGACCCACATCTCTCCCCTGGATCTGCTTCCTCTCTCAGACCCATATCCCTCACCTCTCTCACCTGGCTCCTCTTCCCTTGTCAGACCTGCACCCCTCCCCTGATCTGCCTCCCCTCTCAGACCCACATCCCTCACCTCTCTCACCTGGCTCCGCCTCCCCTGTCAGATCCACGCCCCTCCCCTGGATCTGCTTCCTCTCGGCCTCAAGCCCCTCACCTCCACCTGCCTCCGCCTTCAGACCCACGCCTCTCCCCTCGTTCAGGCTCCGCTCCCCTCCTTCCGCCCTCACCTGGAGGCGACTCGCCGCGCCCATCCGTGTCTGCTGCACGAAGGGGTTGGGCACCGGCGGCGGGAAGAAGGACGCCTGGCGGGGCACCATGGACGGCCGGAGCCCGGTTTTCCCCATGCCCGCGCCCGGCACCGTGGCCGCCACCGCCGCCGCCTCCGCGCACTGGGTCATGGCCCGGCAGGGCGTCAGACCGGGCCCAGCGACCGTCGCGAAACGCCGGTGCGAACACCCGCCGCGACCTAGGGGGAGCTTCGCCGGAGTCCCAGCCCGCGGCGCCGTTGCGGGGCCTCCGCGCAGGCGCGAGTCACCTAGACGCCGTCGCGCCTCGCCTCTGGCTCTGAACTCCCCAGCTCTGGCTCCACCCACTGAGCGCTAGCCCCACCCCTTTAGGTATCTGGCTCTTCCTCTTTGGTCATATAACTACCCCCCCTCCCCACCCTGCCCCAAGTTTCTCCTTCAGAGCAGGGCACCCCGATGAACGACAGTTTAGGCAGAGCTCTCTGCTTGAGAGTCACGCCCATCTGGAGTACCAATCTCTTTTACGGGGTCTGTGACTGACATTGGCCAGATCACTATGTCCATGAACCTCAGTTAGCCCCTTCTATAAAATGGGAGAAACAGAACTCAGAGAAACAGAACCCAAATCCAGCCATCCCTAGGCTGTACCATCTAAGTGAGTTAGTATATCCAGGGTGGGTTTTGTTTTATGTATTTAATTTCTGGTATATGTTTAGGTTCTGCTTAAACCAGTTTGAGGTGGATGTTTGCCAGTGACAGCTGAGAGTCTTGATAATGGACATATTGGTACCTGGAGTAGAATCTTTGCCCCAAAACATGGGCCGACAGTGGAAGATGGTTCTCCAAAAGAAAACTGAGCTTTCCCCAAGGCTGTTAATAGAAAAAGGCAAAAATGACTATTGACTTCCACACTTGATGAGGAAGCTGGCCCCAAAAAGGGAAATAATTTGAGCCGTGGCTCCATTTCACCCTGAGGAAGTTCAAGGGCCTATCTGGAACTATATGAGTGGTGGTGGGGCTGGGAAAGCTAGGCATTTTCCCAGGACCTGAGGCCAGTAGGTCAAGCCTTGAATGCGGACAAGCAGATGCTGGAGATGGTGAGTGACTTATAATTACCGGCCAACGGCTCACATCGGGCTGGAGGGCGCAGTGAGAATCTGTGTACCTGGGCCCTGGGACAGCTGGTGCTTCACACTTGGCTACTGCATAACCTCAGAATCGTCCAACCCTACTGGAGAGATGGGTGGCCTTCAGCTCCTCACATAACCTCTGAGCTGGTACTCTCATCTAAGAATGGGAAAAAATTAGTTTCTACTCCATAAGCTTGTAGTAACAATCAAAACAAAATAAAACATGTAGGTTCGTAGAAAAGCAGTCAAGAAATGCCACCTTTTAGGTATTACGTTGCAGAGCAGCTGAATGTTCTCAGTGTAACAGAGCATGTTAATAATAGTGTATTAGAGTCATGATGTAAGCTTTCTTAGCCTCGGGGGTCTTCAAGTAGGGGCTGCCGGTCCCTTGTGTCTCTTTAGCCAGAAACTTGCCCAAAAGGCTATCTCTTCGGGACCCTCGAGGACCTGAGCCATTGGGCAGGCCATAGGAGGAGAAAAAGATGACACCCAGCCCACCAAGGTCACCTCCAGAGAGTTGTGTCCAATCATGCCCTTCCCCACCAGCCTCACCCCGAGAGGCCTGAAGCAACCAGTCTATCAGAGCCAGAAATGGCCTCTGAAATAATCCCAGGCTTTCAATTTCTTTACCAGGAACTCCAAGATTCCTATACAGAAAGGGATGAGGGGTGCGTAACTTGGCGGGAAGGAGGGATAAAGAGCTTAACCATTAATAGAAGCTGTGTTTAGAAGGCACACTTGATTTCTCCCTTAGTTATGTTTACTTCGGGTGGCTTTGGGGGTAGGAGAGGGTAATGCTGCTGATTCTGGTCATCTTTGGCCTTGACTTGGGTTGTTACAGACAGCTATGGTACCCTGGGCAAGTTGCTGATCTCTGGGCCTGTTTCCTCATCGGTAAAAATGGGCTAAGCATAGCCTCCCCTTCTTTAGGCAGTTGTAAAGGTAAATGAAATGATGCGTGTCAAGTGCCTGGCACATAGTACGCACTCTATTTATGGAGGAGTGTTTTCGTGGTTCAATAGGAGGAGGAGGAGGAGGGGGGGGGGTGTAAGAACTGGTGTTACTGGCAAGAAACTGAGCCTCGGAAAGGAAGGGAACCTTGAATGAGACCCCGCCAGCAAAGTGCTAGAACCAGTGTAATTTCAAAGGCTCTTTCTTCAGGATAGAGGGACTCCTGCTATTTATTTTGGCAGCTCTGACCTTTGCAGCCAATGTCACCTGGGTCCCCATAAGGAGCAGAGATTTAGGCTTTTTAAGTTCCTTCTTCCGCCAGGGGCTGCAGCCCCTCTCTAGGCTCTGCGAAAAAACGCCCTGCAAACATTGCCACTCAACTGGTGTCTTTATTCATACTCGTTGCCATTTCCCATAGGGAACTGTTGAAGGAAGGTGGGGGAGGGCTGAGCGGGGAGCCATGGCTTGGTGTTCCTCCAGCCAGTGGAGGAAGTGACGGGGTCAGGGACGCACTAAGTAGAGTGAACAAGACAACCGTCACTATGTGGGCTGAGATGCATCATGGAGTGACTTCAGACAACCTGAAGTCCTTCTGTCAAGAAATTCAATTCAAAGTGGAACAATAAAAACGATCAGAAGAAAAGAACAAAGTGCATACAAAGCAAACTGCTAACGTAGAAGAGGTCCTAAGGCGGCCAGCAGCGAGAAGCCGGGTGTGCCTCTGTCCCACTGCCCCACACCAGGCCGGGCCGCCGGGCCACCAGTGCCCTCTTGAGACAGTTTCTCTCTCTGTTGGCTCCGAGGGTGCTGTTAGCCACAGAAAGTTGTGGAGGGGGAAAGAGCCCGAAGCGTGGCAGCACCAGGGCAGCCCGAGGCAGGGCTGCATTGAGAATATCAGAGCATCTCTTTGGGGGTGGCTCTGGACGGCTGGCGGGATACGGAAGGGGGGTGAGGGCACCTGGCACAGGTACAATCAGCACCGTTCCCGGGGCACAGGACAGAGCCACTCTCCAGAATCTTAAATTACCAGGTAGGGGTGAGGATGCCGATTAACTACAGAGCTGAAGGCTGCCAGGCCCATCTGGGTCCTTCCCCGGCGCTCAGGGCCTGGTTTGGCAGAAGACAATGGAGAGGGGGGCCTGGAGGAGCCAGAGATGGCTCAGCACCCCAGCCAGTCAGATTTGATGCTTCCGAATTTCACGCTATTCAGACTTTGGTTCTCCAACTTCAGGTAGTACTCGCCCTTGAAAAAGTAGCTGTGACCTGGGATGAGAAAAAGAGGAGGTTGTGACCATACCATCCTTGGGCATTGTGGCACACGGAAGGTTCCCGGGAGCCTGCCATAGGGAAGAAGCTTTTAAACCAGAGAAGCCCTCCTCCCACCCCCCACCCCCCTCCCCCCAAAGCCGGAGGGAGGGGAATGGCTGGGGATCTAAGCTCTCTCGAGTCCCTGTTTCTTCATCTGTAAGATGGGGATAAAGATACAGACTCTTAGAGCTCTCAGCGAGGACTGAGTTGGCAAATACATGCTATTGTTAATATAAATAACAGCACTCCGCTGGGCACAGGCACAAGCTAAGCACTCCCCATATGCCAGAGGGGCACAAACGAGGAGGTTCCCAGCGCTTGTCAGGCCTACAGATGGCTTCCATTTGACTCACACAAATTCTGTGTTTTGTTTTGTTCTGAATGAGCTGCCCACCTGAAAATACACATTTCTCATTTCCTTCAAGAACAGCTAGACTATCTAACGATACTGGGCCCCCATTCTCGCAGCAACCATCAGAAGCAGATGGTTGTAAATCCCATGGTGACCCCTGTGCCTTCTGGGTCACCAGAGTCCTCACCCTTCCCTATAGTCTGCCTTACCTGCTTCACTCACTTGTGCTCACGGCCTGGCCCTTACGGGCTCTAATATGTGTGACTCCTGACACACAGGATCTCATTTCCTCGTTTTAAAAGCCCGGCACACAGCAGGTGCTCAATAGATGTTTACTCTTGAAGACAATCCTTAACTTAGCCCCTAGATTATGCACTGCTCTTTCTTGGACATGTGAGATCTTTCACCACCGGAGCTTAGGGCCATGTGCTTAGCATATGATAAGGGCTCAAAAGAAATCTTTGTGGAATTTAATCGAAACCTCCTCTAAAAAGCCAAAGTGGACTCATTTCCAGGACCCTGCAGACCTCCCAGAAGCCTCCTCAGAATATGGTTTTCAAACTCCAAATGCTACCCCTTGCTGATACTGGGTTGTATTTTCTTCAGCAAGGGACCGGGGGCAAATGGAGTTGAGTGGGAGAACTCTGCCACATCAGCAAGAGGTCAGGACAAAGTCCGTCCTGTCTCAAATGGAGCCATCCCTCTGCTAATGGGAGGCAGTCACAAGGCCTCCCGTGGAACCTGAAAGGGCCTGGACCAAACCCCGGAATGAATCCAGGGCACAGAGCCCACGCTTCTTCTTCCAGCGGGCCTCCTGCCCTCCCCTTCCCTGGCTCCAGGCCCTGCAGCTGTGAGGGGCCTTTCTGGGTCTTACTGCCCGGAGCCAGCTGAGTGAGCAGAGGTCAGGGGTCTGGACGCCTTCCCAGCCCTGGGCTGAAGGGGCTGGTTTGTTTTCCCCGGGCGCCCCTTGCTTCTCTGCACAATGAGGGAGTGTGTGTTTGCGAGGAGCTGGGCCCTGGCTGGGGGCGGGGAGGCAGGTCCTAGAAAGCGGACAGGGGCCTGGGCCACTCACCGCCACCCTGCAAGTCCACCACGGCGTCCAGGTTGTCAGGGATGGCGTTCCAGGCATCGGCGATGAGCTTGGGGAAGCCAGGGTCCATCTTCTTCTTCACCTCATTGTATCTGCGAGCAAACGACAGCTGAGGAATCGCTGGAACGTCCCTAAAGGCCAGCCCTGCCCCAACCTGGATGTAGGGGGACCCAGCCGATGGCTCCTGGCTGAGCCTGGGAAAGCAGACCCAGCCCTGCAGGGAGGCGGCCGGCTGGAGTCAAAGGCCAGGGAGCCAGACTGGGTCTGGATCCCGAGCCCACTACTCGTTAGTTATGTGACCTTTAAAAGCCCCGTGAAAAGCAATCCTGTGACTGCTGCTCGTGTGTAAGCAGTGCATTAACCACTTTCCATATGTTTTCTCGGTTGATCCTTGTGACAAACCCAAGACACAGTCGTTACTGGAATACTCATTTTACAGACCAGAGGCTGAGAAAGTGCACTCAGCTCCC